TCAGAAAGTAATTAGATTTTTGCTGAGGATGGAACCCCCGCCCCCCTCCTGAAAGTAAGCTTCGTTTGTGAGGAAAAACAAAGATGACGTAAGATGCAAGAGCACATGCGCTTTACACGATATGGCATCAGGATCTTACCTAAGTGGGACAAATGAAGAAAAAATACAAGTAAAATGAAAAAAAAACAAGGGAAATATACTCTCTGTTATCATCGCTATAGAGTGATAATGCTGAATGCTGAAGGCGTCCCTGCTTGAGCACGAAGGAATGGCGTGATGGATGGGGTGGTGAACGATGAAGCGAGATGGACGCCAAGGGCCCCCTTATGATTGACATCGACTTGCGTAGATAATTCTATGTTCAGTATTTTCTATTTTCTCATCCACGTCCGAGCCGTCATTGGTCGGAATTGGAGCTGTCGTCGGAGCCGTCGCGGTCGAGTAGACCATACTGGAGGGCTGGGTCTTTGTCGTTGCAACTGAAGGGGCGACGAAGTCACAGCCAGCGTACTGCCGTTTGACTTTAGCTTCGAGTATATAGCCCTGGAGGTCCTCATTGAATGTCCTTGCATAGAAAATGATATCTTCGAATTTGTGATCAATTGGTGAGGTTGATCTACCTGCGTAGAGCACGTCCGGCTCGGGGGTGGTTTTGATGTCGTGCTTACCACCATTCGCTGGCCAATTGTCCAGTAGTTCTAGTACTTTTTGATTGACACTGGGTGAAACTTGCATCAGAGAGGTGTCAGCTTCTGCTACCGTGGTAGTGTCGATATGTTTACTTTCGTAAGGTTTGAAGTCAACGTCACTTCCTCTCTGCAGTGCTGTAAGAAAAGGAGCGTATTTTTGAAATTCCGATCTTCTATTATGATAAAAAAGACAGAAGTCATAGTGGCAAAAACAGTGTTAGCAGTGCGCCTCATATACCCCTAGTCCCAGCATTTTAGCTTACGGAAACGGTGGTTATAGGGGTGTTCTGGTTGGGCAATTAAGATAGGCAGCGAAATAGAACTATACTCTGAAAAAGACATGCGACGAAGTAGTAGTGTATGAAATAACTTAATGAAGTGTCGAAGGCACAGACATTTGTATGCTGGTTAGTTGAAGTTGAGGAAATAGGTAAAAACACCTGCGTTAGGTTTTGAGTTCAACGATGACAAGAGTAATGTTGTGACCTTAACTCCTAAACTATACGTACAAAAGAGGAAACGAAATAAACAACCTCGAATTGGACACCTCCGGAAACGGAAAATAAAACAAATTTTAATCAGATAAAGCTAAATACTCCGCCATATTCGGTCTGGTTGCGAAAGAACTTCTAAATTAACAATTTTGATTGAATCGAAAGCTTGTCATTGAGGGAAACCAACCACGTCAAACGTCCGAGCAGCCGTCTAACATGAAGCTATATAAAACACGGTGTTACATTCGGCTTAGGTGAGTATTATTTAGATTCTATTTTCAAATAGAATTACGCTAGATAAAAAATAGACCCAAAATTGCCTGATATCTGCAACTTCTATAACAATCGGGAGTCTCCCTTAGTGCTTAGTATCGGAAGTGCACCTTGGCTTCACCCCGTTTTTAGTGATTAAGATTGGAATAAACAGAAATGCTAAAAATCCATCGGAAATATGGGATGTACAGTATGGCGAATGTTGCAGACAATAGTCATGACAACATTTAATTTTGTAATTAAGCCTGTTTGGTCAAGTTATTTTTATTCATGGGGTAGATTTGAAATCGCAAAAGCCTTTTAGTTAGAAAAATTCCCACTTTATTCAAGTTTATTGGGGGTAATGTGCATTAATTTTGGAAAAATTGGGGGTAGTCTTATACAGAAGGAATTTCCGGTACTATTAAGAACAGCAAAACCAAATCTTTTTATAATATGCATTACGCTATGGATGAACTTCAAAACAAGTAAAAAGTGTACAGTATATCTCTTACAGAACCGGAACATGTTGTCCAAAATTGTTCAGATGCAAGTGAGGCAAAGTTTAGGGAATCGCATTCATTTTCGGAAAAAAAGGACAGATTCAGTTTTAAAAATTATATGAAGCTAATCTGTAAAGTTTTTCTCCAAAAATGCACTAACCAGAAGTTTTGGTTGCATTGTGTTTTTTCGCATCGCATGATGGCACATAAGCAAAAACTGCTTATCGTGAAGATTATATAAAACAGGCCTTAGTAAATGGAAGTCATGTAGAAATTGTTAATAGAAATTAATTTTTTACACTATACCTTTCGCTTATGCGTTATTTAGAGACGTAACAGACAGAAAAATAATAATTATTTAAATATCTTGTTATATAGGGCCGCCTTTTTTGCTTTTGCAAGCTTAGAACAGAGCCTGGACGTGATCCACTATGAAAAAAAAATAAACTACTGTAAGATGATAGTTAATCTCTTTCATTTCCCGTCAAATTAAATCACTTATCTTCTTCATTTCCAATTTAAAGCCATTTTTTACGTCTCCGAACCTTAGGGATTATCGGGGAAATTTTATTTTCCTTAACAAACACTTAGTAATTCTTATACTTCCTTTAAGTACGTACATTTGTCTAATGCTGTTCAGTATTATTTATAAGTTGTCGTAAATGCGTTCATATTGGTATGCAAGTAATGCCCAAACATTTGCAAACATAGACATGCTGCGTACAGCACGCACCATACTGTATAAAATTTGGCAGTAAAACTAACCTGCAGAACGGGAGTACCAAGGAATCACATTATCTTCTTTATTCCCATTTATGCCGGCGGTCAAACTGAGCGGTTGCCCTTGGACTGGAAGCTCAGCAGTTGTGGTAGTCCATTTCTTCTTCTTCTCCTCCTCCTCCTCCTCCTCACAGGCAGCGACCGAACTCTGCGTCAGCGGAGGTTTCCCATTGGTGGATAACATATTTGCGGACCGCGGTGTCGCAATCGATGACAGGGGTGGAGTTGGCAGGCGGGGTGACATACTGCGTCCATTTATTTTTGGCTGTGTGTGTTCCTCAGAACCTTTTGTCACAAAACGCTTTCATTAATATATGTCAGAGGATGAAAAAGACGTATCTGCAAGGTTTTTTAAATAACATATTGAGTTTAAGATCTCACTTGATGGCTCTGGGCATTTCGCTAGAGGGGGGGGGGCAGAAGATCGCTTACAAAATGCAATATATATTATACTGCTACAGCTAAGAAAACCATTACTACTACTGCTACTATGGCTACCATCACAACCATCACTCCTACAAGTAAGAGGAGCCTGCCTAATTGAGTTGTTCTCGCTGAAAATGGAGCTGGATCTAGATGTTTTTGATGTTCTTAGATGCTGAGAATCAAGAAGCTTGTAAGTGCATACTCCGATCGGTTATCTGAAATCCCGATACAGGTTACGACGGCACGTAAAAGCCGCTTTATAGCATAGTAATAACTGGTCTTAGAAAGTAGGATTACTAGAATTAGAACTCGTAGCAATAGCAAATTATTTCTACCAACAGTATCCTAACCCTCGTTATCTTAACTTAGGAAAACATTACACATTTGTAATGAATAGAGGTAGGAAGGTGAAAACCAGGGCAAACATTTATGTGCTCAGAGCCTCAAATACCTATTTACGCGGAATAGCATCAACTTAGGTCCCCACTCCTAGTTGAGATCAAGGGATCATGAGCCTAGCCCTCGTAGTCTACATTTTACGAAAAAAAACAGGGCAAGAATTGATGTGCTCTGAGGCTAAAATATCTACTGTACCCTAAATAGCCTAAATCCAGGTCCCCATTCCTAGTTGAAAGCAAGGGAACACGAGCCCAGCGCTGACACTAATCAGTGTCATTTCTGAACAAATATTAGCCTCAGTAATAGTACCAGCATTACTATCAATCAGCTACACTGCTAAGATCTCACTTGATGGCTCTGGGCATTTCGCTAGAGGGGAGGGGCAGAAGATCGCTTACAAAATGCGGCTTTCGAATTTGAGCCACCCATTTTTTTGCTCTCAATTCACGTGGGAATTGATTTTCCTATACCATCCTCTAAAATCCTCTGCTTTGTTTGTCTGCATTTGTGATCATGAGGTCATATCTACAGTATACTGCTACCTTTTTAAATGCACGAAAACAAGTTATTTTACCAAAAACATATCACCATCCCAATATTTGTCAAATGCCTCTAATCTGTCGCATATGCAATTCACCAACAACACTAACATCGAAAATTCTCCGTAGGATGACAACACGAAGAAAAAAGCGTGTGAAAAAGCGGAAATAGAGAATTTTAAAGCCGATCTGTCTCCATTGTTGATGTGAATGTCGTGAAAAA